GAGGAATTTGCCCATGTTTTGGAGATGGTGTAACCCATCATGACCCTCCACTGCTGTTCAATCTGTCACAGGATCCGTCAGAGGAAAATCCCCTAGCCATGGACACCGAGCCTTTCTTTGATTCTGTAATGAAGAGAATAGGGAAAGCTGTAGAAGAGCACCGTAAGACCCTGACCCCAGTCCCACAGCAGCTGTCTCCTTACAGTAATATGTGGAAGCCATGGTTGCAGCCATGCTGTGGCACATTTCCATTCTGTTGGTGTGACAAAGAAAGCGAGAAAGCCAATGACACACTTTAATACCAAAATCGAGTTAGTTTAAAAAAAAAAAACAAACAAAAAAAGTAGCAATTTTCACATCCACATGACTACAGTCATATAGAGATGGGGGACAAATTACACTAGAGTAATTGAAAGGGACATTTGTGATGCTTTTTGTTCAATCTAAGCCTGTAGTTTTAAGCTGGATTTTTTTTTTTTAAGAAATGCTCCAAACACGCTCTGCTGATGTGAACTGTAAATTCTATGCCTCTAATGGATAGTTCTGGATCAGATACACAGATAACTGAACCAAAGTGTCTTCCCCTACTGATTTTCAACTTAACAAAATTATGAATTACAAGAGATTAAACTTGAATTGCTGCTGTGTTGCAGGTAATATGATTGTTAAGGCAACAGGTCTGTGCCCAAAAGGATCTCTCTTCAAAGTCTTATCTTTTTAATGAAAAGGCTGTTATGTGCTTTACAGCACAGTTGTGCATTTAATTTGGAAACACACCAAAACACAGTGGCCTCTAAGAAATAAAAACATTCTAGTTTATAGCAGTATTTTGCCTCATCTTTACATTTACTTATCTGCCATGTAAGAGTTTCTGGAGAAGAGGGGAAAAAAACCCAACAAACCAACACTGATAAATGTGTTTTAAAAATTAGGTAGCTAAAGTTACAATTCCAAATCCAGCATTTAAGCATCTAGCTATTCTGAAATGCTAAACCACTGCAATTCCAACTGACACACAGCTTCCATGTTAAATCAGCTCCCCTGTAGGAGCATTGAAAATCATCATCCAGCTGCCTGGACAAGATAGTCCCAAATTTCACAATCCCCGAGACCAATCTATCTGTAAGCTGCATGTCCCACTTCGGCATGAATGCTCCTGATTTTATGGGAGTGTTGAAATGCCCCCATTAAAAATTTGCTTTGTTTTGGAAGACAGTACTTTGGTTTCAGTAGGTGTTAAAAAATCCCCTGCACACACTAATCACTTCAGTGTACAGGTCACATTCTATGAGCCGAGCAAGTGTCAGCACTCTGTACAGTCATTAGGGAAAGGTAGGGAATTAAAATATCTAATCCTCTCTTACTGCCCTCTGGCTAACTGCATTCATCTCTCAATATATAATCCTGACCAGGTTCTTGCAGGGGTTTTGTGTCAAATCCAGTTTTTAGGCAGAGGTTGCTGCATTCTCCAGCTCAAAAAAAGAAGTAAATTGTGTGGCGGAGACTCAGATTCAAACCTCTAAACCTTCCTGAACACTGCGTCTTCATTCCTACTGCTTAGCTGAATGTCAGCAAGATTTCAAAGGCAGCACAGAAAGGTAAGAACAGCCCAGCTTCAGATAACGTTTCCTTAAATCTAGCGGCACTGCAGAACCAGACCAGTGCCACTCTGTTCAATACTGAGGTCACTCAAGTCATTTTTTTTTTTTTATCTTGTAGAAAAAGGAGATAAGGCGGCCAAGGCAGCACAGAACTGACAGGCTGATAAACCCAGAATAGCGTGCAGCTCTCACAGGTCTTGAGCTGTCGCAGCAGGTCCCAGCCCTTTCACCAGCCTCAGGACAAAACAGCATGCGTGTGCCTGGGATGAGATGCTTTCTGCAGTGCTTTCAAGCAAGCTCCTGACTTATATCCCCTGCATGGATGTCACCTGTGTGCTAAGTCACAATGTTCTTTTGTTCCAAACAGCACAGGTTGTGACCATGATGCAGTACCAAACAGTCTCCAAACAAGCATTTCTTCATGTTATTTCCTGTTGGTATCTTTCCTCTAAAAGGACACCAAGGAAGCTATGCAGACATTACTCTGCAAAAATCAAAAGGCTAATCTGACAGTGAACTGCTAGGACAGTTCAATGGCAGGTTTGACAGAAGTATCTAAAAATACATTTGTTCTTACAGCTTGATAGCATTTAGATCTACATCAGCTTTGCTGAGAACCTGTCAAAAGACTTGACATTTTTCTGTGTCTGACAGGGGTTGAAACCAGTGCAGCTGTACTTCACTGGATTCATAACAAGAGAAAATACATAGCATAAAAGACCAGGCATTTTAAAGCTAGTCTGGCCGATTCTGGGATGGAGGAGAAATCTTGCTGCTAAGTGAGGAACAGAGCCAAAAGCTGTTTTCCAGAATCAAGCCAGCCTGTCAATAACATCTACGTTGCCAGTTAAGCATAAGCTTGTTCTCAGCTCACCCCAGCACCCTCCTTACCCTGCCTATCTGGTTATACACAGGAACGTGCCCAGTCACAGGCTGGGCCAGGACTAATGGCAGGAGGTGTTCAAGTAGCAACATGTCATACAAGCATAGGGACACAGTGCTGTGGACAGACTGGGAAGCCCAGTGCATCCACAAAACTCCTGTGCACATCTCCAAGCACAGCATGAACATTTCTGACCCCAGGATAAAGGCAGGCTAGAACACGAGAAGGGGAGATTTGCATTGGCTTATATAGGAGGACATCCATCACTCAAGCCTGCTCTTTGTTTCACAGTAGAGGTATGGTAAATTATTACCAGAATTAGAAACAGGTCAATTATTCTGTTCCCTGCAGATCCTAGCCGCAGACGTTACAAAGCACACTTGCATCTGAGTAACACTGAAAAATACTCAGTTACCTAGGTTTTATTTAAAAACAATCTATAATGACCTTCTGAACATAAATAAACATCATGGTGTCTCCCTTGTTTTGTCATGGCTTCTCCCTTTGTAGAAGGAAGAAGTGCTACATAAACTCACCTAATAGGCAGAGATGAGACAAGTGGCAAATCACCAAGGCTATGTTAACCTCAGGCGAATGCACCTACATATAGTTAACTACAGACTCTGAGCAGAGGGGAGCAACATTATAAGTGTTCCTATTGAAAGAGCTGTGGCTGAACTTTACAAACGTTTGACATTCCTGCTGTATGAAGCTGACTTCTATCTAAATAGTTTGATCATTATTAAATGACATTTGGAATCTCTACGCTAGTCTGACTCAACAAAGTAATTGTTGAGTCTCACAACAGTGAGACAATAAGCTTCTAAAGTAACTCACTTCAAATTCAAATACCTCAAACATGCCCATTTGCTCTCTGGTGCAACCCAGAGGAATGCCAGTGCAAAAATCAACAGATCCCATCATCTGAGAGAGTGCAAAATAATTGTGTAACAGATAAGCTAAGAAGAGCAATTTCAGCTCAAACTTTATCCAGCTTGAATTTTGTGGGGGGACTCATTTACAAAAGTGAGGGAAAGGAAGAAGTGGAATAAAAATACTTGTGCTTGTGATTCTGAATGACCTTGGCTGAAAGACCTGTTCTGCCATGTGTCTATAAGCCAAAAGCTACTGAAACAATTCAAGGAAGTTATAAAATGAAATACAGACACCCACCCACCACAAGCAATCTCTTTTGTTCCAGATATTTAATAATATGAGTAGGCTTTGAAAAATCATAGGTCTTTAAGCCTAAAATAAATAATCACCTGTTTCTGATATATATCTAAGGAGAACCATCTACATGTATCATGGCTCAGAAGCGTGTATAGTCCCATAAAAAGGAACAAACACATCACCAAGCAGTTCATGTTCTGTCATTCCCGGGGGGGAAAATAAATAAAAATTTTAAAACAACCACAAATCAAAATCTGACTCTCTTGGAATTACATTCTTTTCCCTGTTTTCTGACAGTCCTGATAACACCCAAAGCAAAGGTAAGGATAAGACTTGCAACTCTGCTCACCCCCCCCCCCACTGTATTCATAGTATTATATATCACTGTAATTAAACTGTTTTCTTTTTAATTACCTTTGCTATAGCTCTTACAAGTGGGAAGTTTATACCAGGAGGTAAGACACTGCTTAGGTGTTGTCCCTTCTAACTTTTGGTACCAAAAAAACTTATTTATCAGCTAGCCAGCCAGCTCTGGATGAACAGAATTTCAACTGAAGCACTTTGTTAGCCATACACTGAAAATGCAAGGTATTTCAATGACAAGTATTAACTGACATTTATTTCTATAGGCTAACTAAAATGCCAAGCAGTCAATTCTTATTTCAGGGCCGATTTAAAAATCATGAAATCACAGAAACAGAACTCTACAGTGATTAAAACTATGGGGAAAAAAGCTAACAAGTGCATAAAACATTTATTATAGACTGTGCTAAATACTCTCACGCAATGATAATATCATTAGAGGTATAAATTAAGGCAACAGGCCCATCTCACATTATTTTTAAAATCATATGAATCAGAACAGTTTAGCTCAGCAAAACAACAAAATTTATTAAGGAATAAATAGACAGACTTGTGGAGATTTTCAGGAGCATGCAGATGTATAAAGCCACATGCTAGTAGCCTAGTCTAATATTCATGGGCAGAAAAAATCACTGCAGAGAAATAAATGTGTGGGTTTTTTTCTCCAAATATCAGCCTTACAAGATGTAACTCATGCGAGCTGACTGAGCCAGAGAGACAAAGAAATCTCCTCTTTTCCAAAAGAACAACCAAGTAGAAATGTCCTCACTAGACACTTTGAAGTAAGCAGGGACATTACAAGAATAACCACCTCCTTTTCCAGTAGGCTACGAAAGTGCATCAACCCACTCGTCTAAGATTTTCAAGAATTCTCCTTGTGGCTCACCCACACTATCTCCTGTTTATTATACAAAGAGCACTCAATAATTTTGCAAATAAAACTACCTTTTAAGTCTTTCTGTAAATAATTAAGACCAGGACAGAAGAAGAGAGAATAAGCATATTTCGATTTTAACTCAACCTGTTTACTTTAAGTCTTCCACGCTATACCACATCAGAGTTTGGCCTTTCAAAGCCCTTACTGCTACTTCTTGGGTCATCAGGGCCTGGAAAAATTCTTCTTTAGGAACCAGTGGCAGTGCCAGAAAGTTTGTTTTTCTTAAATTACTTTACCTAGAAATACCTGAGGCTACCCACAATTTAATGTGTAAGAAATTTTGGGTGAGGTTTACTTTGAACGTGATTTCCAAGTCATGTTTTGACTGCCATGATCCACAGAGTTTGTAATGTGCTGCCTGTAACACTCTCCAAACCTGCTTGTGGCCCCACAGTTGTAAAATGATGTCCACAAAGATCAAAGGAAGCTGCTCAAAGTACAGCACATGCAAATTCTGGATAAACTTAAAAGTTTGTCCTTTCTCACTCTCTGGAGGCATTACAGTGCAAGAATCCACTAAGATACAACATTATTTGTAAATGATTTCTTGAATGAAGAAATGCACAAAAGCTTGGGCAAAATTTTTAAGCACAGTTATATTTTTCTGGGAAACTGCAACTCAACTACTTTGGTACTTACTCAAGAAAGATTGTAATGCTTCTGTTACATATGTCTGTAGAATTGTAATCTGCATCTCCTATTTCTCCTCAGATGGTGGTACAAATGTCTGACAAGCAATTCAATAAAATGAAAAAAAAATCCAAACCATTAAGGTAACCAATCAGTCACAAATAGCACGCCCTGGCACAATATAATCTGTAACCATGCATCATTCGATGAGCACAACTTCATACGACCTTTCCATTTCCACTTCTACTTTATTTCCATGACATTATTCTGCTACATTTCTTTGCAAAACATTGCATAATCCACACACGGTACCATTCTACATCTTAACACTTTCCACTGCGTTCCATAACAGCTCCTTTTACTACAGTCATATGTCTACTTTAAAACTTTTCAATTATAGATTTTACGTTAGTAATTTTTTCCCATAATCTATATTAATGTATGCAGTAAGATCTAGTAGTTATTGCAGAATTACAGCTGCATGAAACATGAGTTCACATGGTCACCTACTGTTGTATACAGTTTTCAGGAACTGTTTGAATTGTACTAGCAATAATTCTTAGAAAATGGAAGACTTCCTCAGAAGTGCACAAGTTACTGCAATAAGAAATAATTAACAGATCAAATGCCACTACACTGCAGCTAGTATAATCTCCATGTAGTGCTGCACTGGGACACTCAAAACAAAATGCAGAAAGTGCCTGCCTTTATACTTTCACATAAAGGTTGCCTGCCAACAGAAAGCAATTTATCATAGGTCCTCTTATGATTAATGGAGAAATTTATATGAATCATCTTCTGGACATCTTTCTCTTCAACTTCAGTGACTTTAAACACCTAACTTCAACTAGAAGACCAACTTCAAGAGACCAACCAAAGAGAGAGACCCACAGTTCCCACCTTAGGAGTACTCAGAATAAATGAGAAATAAAGAATTTGACAAATGAGAAATAGCCCCAGAAGTAAAAGTGATGACACTATTTTTAACAGTGGTATATAACTCTAAAAAACTCAGATCACTATTCTGCCTTCGAGTGACCTTCTGACTCTTTTGCTCCTTTCCTAATTTGTGCAAGTTATTTCTCTTCTTTTCAACTTTTTTTCGATGGAGAAAGAAAAAAATTCTCTCTCCTACCCCATCTTTTTCTTCATTAACATTTACAGCAATAGATATTCGGATTAATTTTTTCACTCAGAGGGTGGTGACACACTGGAACAGGTCAAGGATGCTGTGGATGTCCCACCCCTGGAGACATTGAAGGCCAGGCTGGATGTGGCTCTGGGCAGCCTGGTCTGGTGGTTGGCGACCCTGCACATAGCAGGGGGGCTGAAACTAGGTGATCATTGTGGTCCTTTTCAACCCAGGCCATTCTGTGATTCTGTGATGCTTAACATTACACGACTGGCTGTTGAACAGAATTCCCAAGTTATTTCATTTGATTATCCATACCAAGATTGGTGACAAATCAAGGCTGGAATACACTTCAGATCCTAGATCAGCACTGCAGAATTCTCATTTGAAGACTTAGCAGCATTATGCATAACTGTATCAAATCTGTTACCACATTAGCATGTCTATCAAGCTTCTTTCTTTCAAAGTGTTTCTTTCTTGTTGTTCGTTAAAAAAAACCTGCCAAGACCACTCGTATTTGAAGACTCAAAATTCATAAAGCAATCCTGCTAAGTACACTTAAATATAAGGGAGTCTCATCAATAGATTTATCTGAAACTACACTCTGATTTTTTAGTTTCCACACACAGCTATTGTTTAAAAGATCTTCAGAGCCTGTTTACTAAAACAAGGACTAACTATGTCAGTTGCACTCAAACTGGAGCAACCATATTGAATGAGAAGAATGCCTTTGTCAACTGCAGTCAGAGTACTGTAAACAGTATAAAGCACCAGAAAAGTTTACACCACAGTGTCAGTCAGCATTTCTTTCTCTATGCAACACTGAATACGGAAGTAAAAACTAACATATATTTTAAAAAAAAAACAAACACACACGAAGGGCATCCTTTAGCAACAATATAAAAGATTAGTACACATTTTCAGTCTGTCTTAAGACTACCTTAAGACATCTTTTCATCACATTGCTGCTTGAGCAGTTTCCATATAAAACAGTAAGAGTATCCAGTAGCGACCTCAAAGTCCTGATTTACTCTTTACCTAATTATACTTAAATGAAAAGGTTTTGTCACAGACTTATATGAGGCCAGAATTTCATCTTACTTTTCTCTCACATTGATGTCTACACCATGGTTGCCCTTGGAATCATTAACTTTGTTTCAAGAAGTTTTAATTTAAGAAGTTTTTGCAGTCTCTCGTTAAGAGGTAAGAGTATGTAAAATAAACTCAACTCTCAATACACTTCACTTACAACTGTTCCCGTGCAGTACTTATGCAGAACAGTGGGGAAAAGTGATAAATATGAGAGTTTCATACTCAGAAAATATCATTCATTGTATGTCAGAAGGCACTATGAGAGAACAATAAAGTTGAGGCACACATAACCATTAAAAAAAAAAAAAGAAACAACAAAACAAGAGTCTATCTCTGTTAGTCTTCCATCAGCTTTGGTGTCAAATGAACTATGAAGATATCCAAATATTCAAGGTTCTATTTACAGAAGAAACATCATAATAGTCATTACAGTTCATCTTAGAGTAAAAATGTGTCCAACTTCTTTTTGATATGTTCAAAAGCATCTTTTCCCATATAGTCCATACGCCCTTCCTCCCATTTTCTCCGTTCATCTTCTGGATTTGGTTCTTCACGTTTGAGGTGAATAGAGAGCTCTGAAACAGAAGATGCAATCTCATTCTGTGGGAAGAACAGTAGGAAAGCAGTCACTTGATTGTTTTCACTTCAGTGCTGTGAAATTAAACCTTAAAAATCAAAATTTCTGCTTTATAAAGTGCCAGTTAAAAGAAGCAAGCAAGCAAAAACAAAAAAAAAACCACCAAACCAGTGATCTCATTTTCCCAATTCTTCTATGCTTCTAACTAATCGCTTTAGCATCTTTGAACATACAAAGTATTTATCTTACCTATCTGAAGTCAAAGCCTGGCACTCAGCAACAATACAATGAGAATTGAGCATTGTCTTCAACAGACTTCCATTGGAGTGTAAGTTCCCGTATTTTTTGATCGTGTATTTTAGTTGAACTCCAGTGAGGTTGTACTATTTATCACATGAGCCACATTAGCTCAAGTAAATTAATTAATTCTAAGATTGACATTATTTGTTAGAATGGTAACTAATAAATGTTGAATGACACTCCAAAATTCTGTACCATGGTTCAAGATGATAGGTGCACAAATGCATAATATATTAGTAATTATTTCAACCAAATGAAAACTATGTCCAGAACTGATCAATTATGAAGCTTAAACTGCCTAAATGCCCAGCAATATCCATTATATGCAAGGCCTGTGCCAATTTGGGGTGCAGGCCTTGCATAAGGCTGGTACTCAAAAACTAAACATATTTTGCTCTCTAAACATGATGCTAAGAATTTAGACAATCACATCCTTCCTATGTATCCTTGCTTGGGATCCAGTCTGTACATGACTTGAAAGATGGATAAACACTCTGAAGAGCATGTTTCTACTGTATATGTGTGAATGTGTGTGCATGTATCTATATACACATTATTAGTTCTTAGGGTATGTAAATACATAACTGCAAAAATGCAGTAAGATACCTTTTTTTTCTTTTTTTTTTTTTTCTTTTCGACCTGTAGCAAGGATTATCAACAGCCTTGGATGCTATTAACAGAACAGTAATCATCACATTTTCATAAATTAATTTTAGCTAGGGCCTAAACACCCCTGACCATAGAAGAGCTACCCTTTCACCTGTCAAGTTGTTTCTTAGCTTTTAAGACTTTCACCATAGCACTTAATATTTTCCTCAGTAGCAAAATATGTTGTGCACCTTAAAAGATTCAGTTCCTGGACACCCTGTGACCCCATTAATGCCAAGTTTGGCATTAAGTGGTTTCATACTGCCCAAGTATGACATACTGCCCAAAAAAACACAGTGCATGATCACAAAGCACAGCCAAGCAGCTTAGGCTCCATGTCTGACTCACAATACATCATCTCCCCCCCCCCCCAGAAAAAGAAACAAAAAACCACCCACACACCATAAAATAAAACAAACAAAACAATCTGCTTGTTAAACATTGCTGTTACGTTACTGCACAGCTAAAATTAATAGCACACATTTTTATACATTTAAAACCCAGAAGTAAAATGAGCTGAATGGAATGTACGCCAGTATAAGAAGAAGAGGTTAATAAATTAATTATGTTGCTCAAAGATTTAAGAATTTATTGGTATGCTGTATCAGTTAGTCACTGTTTCCTAGAATGATGCTGGCAACAGCAACATGCATGCAATTAGCAATAGAAGTATAATCCAGAAAGCTACATGTACCAGCTCGGAGGTTTCCTGAAATGCAGGATGAGAAGCAAGTTGCTTGGAAGGTCTGTCAGGTTCAGAGAGATGAATGCTGGAACCATGCTGTTGAGTTTCATATACAGGTTGCTAGAATACAACCAATGAGTTTTTATTAGGAAAACTTTTTTCCCCTCTCCAGTTTCCTTATAATGAGAAAGCACACAAGACAAAATGACCTCAGTCTTGGAATTTGAGAAAGCAGAGGGCAGGAGTACAATGTGACCAAGGACAAAATTCATCTCACGTAGCTTTAGCTATCAAAATGGCACTGAATCTAAGCTTCTACTATAATCAGTCTAGGATAAGTATCTCCAGAGAGCAGCTCATCTCATCTTTAAAATAGTTGCAAGACTGTCTGGCATTCTTCAGGGATTACAGGAACAGCTTGGAAAACTAGCTCACAGTAGATGCCTACCATTCACAAGGCCAAATTTAAATAGAAAAAAAACAAACAACAACAAAAAAAAAAAACAACCAATTTCAGGATTCTAGATTGCTCTGTAACTTGAGCTTTGTAAGCATAAAACAAGAACAGTACGTTGTGCTCTGTAACAAAATCAAAATGGGCTGCCCAAAAAATACTACCCCAAATATTTGCCTTTGCTAGATGTCAAAATAAACAAGTAGACAGCCCCCATTCTGAAGTCTTTTCAGTCAGAAGCAAAACAGTCTACACAAGACTACTGAAGCTATGCAACAGTCAGATGATGGTGTTCCTCAGAGCAGAATCTTTCTATTCATTTCAAATTAATACAATCTTCTGATAAACCAATCCTGCTTTACTTTTTTAATTACAGTGCAGTATGTTTAAATGTGCATGACAGTACTTTAAATGAACATGTATTTATTTTTACCCCAAGTAGCATCTTAAAAACGTTTCCTTATTTGACTTGAGTACTTCCAACAGACAGATGCATCAGGCACACAAGATTAAAATTATTAGCAAATGATATTTGAACTGTAGGGCTGGAACGTTTATAGTTTTCCTTCAGCCTCTTTTCACTCAGGCTGGAAAAGAAGGGAGCAGAGCATGGAGTTATGGAGTAACTACAATCTGAAGTGCAGAAACGCTGGATATAATAAAACATTTATCTTTCTAGAGAATGGCCCACAAATCAAAGCAGCAGATGACATGATGCCACTGATTTTTTTTTTTTTTTCCCTCTCAGTTTTACCTTGCTATGTCGTGGCTCATCATACAAACAACTTACACCTCAGAAATATTGTTCTGTTATCTCCAATTAAATTCCTGCACAAAATAAGGAGCATCATTGCAACAGAAATACCCAAATACATGAAGAGTGACAAAAGAACAAGAACCAGTGCAGTGATCATTAGGGATTTCCTTCAAAGATATTCCTTGCTGCCCAAATCAGAGAAATCTGGGGAACACTTTTCAGAGTCAATGCTTCTGAGGAAGAAAAAAAAAAAAAAAGGGGGGGGGGGGGGGGGGAATATTCTAGCTTTAGATATATTCATTTACAGGACTGTGAATATTCAAAAGATTGACTGGTTAATGGAATTTCTTTTTAGTAAGTTTTATTAAGTACCGACCCATTTTCAATATGGAGCTTCTTGGTAAGATTCAGTGCAAACTCAACCTCTGGATATGACCAGCAGACATGACTAAAACCTAAAGCAAATAAATGTTCTTCAGACTATTTCTGATGATAGCAAGAAAATTCTAACACACACACACAAAAAACCCAACTTACTTCAGTATATCATTTTACTTTGTTACTTAATACAGGAATAAACAGCATACTTACAGCTTTGAAACCGAGTTCCTCAGAGGAACATGCCGTGGGATCTGCTTCATATGCCTGCTCTGGAAATACAGGCATTTGCAGAGAATTGGCCACAGAAGGATCAACTTTTTTCAGTGTAATTTCAACTCCACTGAAAGTATGCTAGCAAAAACAAGAGCAACCCATCAGTGAAATAAAATTCTGCAGGAAATCACTATCTGACTTAGAACAGATTCATTTCCTTGTGTGGTTTTCAACTTTGAAGTTAATACATTTAAAAAAAATTGTGGTCACAGATTCAGAGCATATTTCAATTTAGATTTATTAACTGAAGATTACGCTGCCATCATCAGGGGGGTAAATCCAGCAGATATTTCTATCTTCATGCTACCCTAGCTGAAATATTTATTCACTGCCCAATTAAAAAAAATAATAAAATAATGGAGCACATTAAATACAAGATCAAAACCCACCCACTCATTCCTCTGCCTTCCAATCTCTCATCAGGTTTATAAACCAAATTCCTTTCCAGAGCTTTGATGGTAATTGTCCAACTAATTTTATGGGACTGTGCAATTTGTTCAATGTAGTTAATATTCAACAAACACAAAGAAGATATTTATATATGCATAAAAGTGACCTAAATTGTCTCATCTGATACCAAATTAAGAATTGCATCCTGCTTCTACTTACTAGTTTATAATGTAGGTTTCCAAGAAAGTATTTATCAACAGCTTTTTATTCAATTCATGAAAACCATACATTGTTGCACTTCCTTTGATGAAAATGGTGTAATGGTGTAACTTACTCAATACAATATAACCTTGAAAAGGGACCTCTTGAGCTCAGAAATGCTGTTGTGTAGACCACTCATTTGCCTCGAGGGGATTGTCACAACATTTCCATGGCAATTGCTGTTGTGAGCTGAGAAACGTTCAGAAGGCTGCCATAATATAGAGACTGTGTAGTAGGTACTGACTTGTATGTGTATGTATGTGTGTGTGAGAGAGAGAGGGAGCAAGAAAAAATATCTAATGAAAGATCTATCTGACCTACTAATGTAGCTGAACTAACGGAATGTAAAGAGAACAGTAAATGCTTGATGACATGCAACTCATATAATACCCTAAATGAAATTTAACAGTGACTTTTCAAATCCAGTTTGTTACGATGCTTATAAAGTAAAAGATAACATAGGTCTGAAAATGTAAGTTTTACTCTAGTTCAAGGCCTAGTTTGAGGTATAAACCATGTTAGCTTCAGAAAGTCAGAAGTCTGTTTCACAGTCAGATGATTACCTTTTCTGCCTACCTTGCACTGTATTTTGTGTTTAATTTGCAGAATGCATATATGTATACTTCCATATAAACTCCTCATCAGTTAAGAAAGGGAGTGGAAAAAAATTAGTAAAGCTACAAGTGCCAGACATCTTTCTTAAACTGTTAGTTTAGCAGAGATGGCTTTTAGAGGAACCTATTACCAATTCACACGCATGTTTTCCCACATAATTATTTCCTCTGGCAAACATGATTTTCAGAACTTTTGCTGTGATTCCAGTATATGCCCACAAACTCCTTGATAGTTACCTTCCATTCCTCAGATTCTGATTCTTCCATCTTTTGAAATTTTTCTAACAACGGCAATATACTGGCACTGTATATGTTCCACCAGAGGGCAAGAAATGACAGCTGATGGAAGGATCCAGAAGTGGTGCCATCTTGCATAACTCTCTTTGTTTGAAGGTTGTATTTGTAGTTCCAGGGCTTTGTTGCTCCCAAGAAGTGAACAACTTTGGTATCTCTACCAAAACTGTAGGAATTAAACATACAAAACCATACATTAAAGATGATTTTTTAGCTAAAGTAATACACTTACTCTCACCGGTGTGGTGAGAGTACTTTGCAACAAAAATACATTTAATCTAAAATATGGTATCTCATGTGGTACGCAGTAAAAGAAAAGGCTAACATTGCCATTACTTCTAGCTACTAATTCTAGTGGAAAAGTTCCTGAAGGAAACTGAATGTTGTCCTGATTCCAGTTTTGTCGCACGCTTTGCTCACAACTGAATGAAAACCACTTCAAACACCAAATCAACAGAATTGGTTAGTACTGATGCCATTTTGAAAATGACTAAAAAGTACATCCCCCTCACCTCACCCCCCACTGCATGTTTTGTGCAACTGTAAAAGTAATTCATGGCACACACTAAATCTCAAAAACCACTCACTTTTTGCCAGAAAAGTTTCTCTAACCAAACTAACTGATGTAATATAATTACCAGCACAAATTTTGTTCCAAGGAAGAACATAATAAAAGGTTCTCCGAATAAATAGAGTGAAAAACCCCAACAATTTCCCACAGAACTGAGTGGAAAGGAAAAAAAAAAAAAAAAAGGGGGTGGGGGAGAATAACTTTCCAAGTTATTGGAACCTGATGTTAAAGTAATCTTCATACTTTCAAATTAGAGAAAAGTTTCTCTGAAGCAGAATATGAGACATAGTAGCTCACTTTGGGACTTTCTATCTGTCCAGATGCAATAAATTTTCATATTGTTTTTAAGTTTTTAAACCCATGATTTTTATACAATGTACTATTTCTTATTACTGAGATTCAGATCAATGGAATACGCCATAATTATTCATTCTCTCTCTTTTACAGTAGATGATTTATTATTAGCAAGCTACAAAGATTTACAATCAGTCAAAAGTGTCACTACTTACTGATGGAAAGCAGGAACGTAGGTGTATACTGCACTACTGCTTAAGTTATAGATGAATGGTAAGTGTTTGCCAATATCTGCTGTTGCCCAGTTGCTGAAGAAGCTATTCAACAAGCCTTGATCACCCCCTACAGAATATATAAAATAGTATTACCATAATGTATAATTATATTTGAATTTATGTCAAAATGTCATGTACAAGGATGCAAATTACACTGGGGCATTCATGGGAGTGCAACTTGGACTTCACAGTATGGCCAGATGAGCAGGTGCAAGTAATACCTGATCCACTTCAATGCAATTTCAGTTTAAGTGGAGTCCTACTATAACTTATGAAGAAGTAAGAAGGGGTTTTTGTCTCCCTCAGAGCAGATCAGCTGTATTTCTTTATCCTAAAAGACAGCAAAATTAAAACTTACTGAGCAGACTCTCTTCGTTGTACTTTTCTGGGAAGTGCAGCCTGCAATAATTCAATGAGTCTTAAATACTGTGTAAGACGAAAAGATCTGCACTATAAATTTTTGTAGGGGCTCAATTACTTAAAGCCCAGAGAACTCCTGCCTTCCTCTGTTCTGTCAGACTGCATGGAAGTTATGGAGGAAATGGCTCAAAAAAACTGAATCTCGTTTCTTGCATTTCATCTCTTACCATCAAAGCTGCCATGTTCAGCAGCAAACTGGAGCAGCAAGTTGTAAGTTTTTAAAGAAGGTCGGAAGACAAATACACCACTATTAAAGCAGTCAGGCCAGCCAGAATCAGGAGCTGCTGAAAACTCTTCTCGATCAAACAATTCATCAACATTGCAAAGCACCTTGGAGAATGTAGGAGAAAAGGTAAATTGTTACAAAAGGTGTTTTTCTGGAACATGAGTAGCTACATCATTACTACCAAATTCAATTCTTAGTTTCACCAAGCTTGCAGAACATGAAAGCAGGCAAACATGCCAAGGTTCATAACTTTTTTTAATGTAATTAAGTAACTTTAACTGTGGTTCTCCTTGAATTCTCTGACAGAAGTGCAAATCCCATGAAATTATTTCATGAGTGTCAGAGATCCTTCAAAAGGTCAAAAGGTTCCCTTAAATATCCTATCGTGAAAGCTTCCTTATTTCTAAGCTCACTTTCTCAAAGTCCATTATTCTCAGTATCCACAACAAAGCCAAGAATCCAAGTAATTTGATTTAGCAGCAGACTGGCTAAAGACTAAAACAGAACAACTGTCTCTTGTAACTGTTTTTCTAAAGTAAGTTAAGCTCAGAGTCTTGCTTTGGGTTGGTTTTAGAGCTTCACAATGAAACAGGAAAAATCAATCAGATTGAGCCAGATCACTTATAAAATCAGTGGAAAGATGACTGTGCAGCCACTAGAAGTCTGTACCCCACTCATAATGACTATAAATGGAGACGCTAAAAAATAGGAGGGTAAATCTTAGAAGAAAGATCATCTCATTGACTTAAAGAAAACAAAAAAACCAGGACAAACAAACAAACAAACACCACAACCAAGTACTTGCCTTTTTCAATTTTAAATCATAAACTCTTCCCCTCGCTCTCTGAGAGGAATAATTTGGTTTCTAATATAAATATAATCCTATTAAATCAAAACGCATCCCACTCTCTCAGAATGAAACTCTTAACTGCTGCAGAGAAAGGTTGACATGACTGTCCTTGTCAAAATTACAGCTTGTTTTTTTTTTAATCTCCATACATCAGATAATGTTTTGTTTTCCTCTCCTTTTTATAACTTGCCAGCCTTCCTGACCAGAGTAATTCCAAGCAGAATTTGACAGAGAACTATTTTCAACATCTGTCAGAAGCCAATTTGCATACAATGTGTTCATGGTATCTTTCGAGGACAGTCTGGAAGCTACTCTTGAAACAGGATCCACTTCTCTGCAGGCAGCCAAGCTGTCAGTCAAAATATCCAGCTGGAGCCTCTGCAGCCTTCTGACCCCCAGCAAATACAGTCACTTGCTAGGCCATTGGGCTGCCAGATGAGGAAGCACACACTCAAAGCATGTCTAAGACAGACACAAACCACAGCACAGCTCTGGGGAGCACTACTCACCAAGGTATCTGCATCCATGAAGACACATTTGCTATAATGAGTAAGAGTCCAGCAGTGAAGTTTAGTGAAGGTTACACCCAGTTCTGGCCTCTGCAACAGAGCCAAACGGACCGAGTCAGCACTGTCAAGTGCATCCACCTCAGTGACTTCATCAAACACGCTGCGCAGGACAGACCTACCAGAGCAAACAGTGGAGAGAAAGAAGGGAACTTATTGAGGTTCACCACTTTTTTCATAAAAACACTGACACAGCTTTTATTGTGACAGTAACAAAGGTTAGACTGATGCTTAGAATAACACCGGGCTGTAAGCCACTGCTTCTTTCAGTAAGGGGCCAACCCATCTCAAAACTTAAAGGTACTGTACAGAGGAGAAATCAACCCACACCTTAATTACTTAGTCTCCTATAGAAACACTGACAGAAATTAAAGGAGCTTTCATTTCTTCACAATTGTGACAGCACCATACCATACATACCGTACCATCTCTACATCGTACAGGACGTGGCAGGTACTGTCTCTTTGCACCTGTTGTGCCAGAGCAAAAACGGCCTTTAAAATAGACAGCACATACTTGCACAGAGAAAAGAAGTCTTCTTAGAATCACAGAATGGCCAGGGTTGGAAGGAACCTCAAGGATCATGAATCTCCAACCCCCCTGCCACATGCAGGGCCACAAACATCCCCATTTAATACTAGACCAGGTTGTTCAGAGCCCCATCCAACCTGGCCTTGAACACCTCCAGGGATGGGGCATCCACAGCCTCTCTGGGCAGCCTGTTCCAGCACCTCACCACTCTCTCTGTAAAGAATTTCTCCCTGACACCCAACCTAAATCTTCCCTCCCTCAACTTAAAACCATTTCCCCTTGTCCTGCAGTTATCTACCCTTTCAAAGAGCTGATTCCCCTCCTGTTTGTAGGCTCCCTTTAGGTATTGAAAGGCTGCAATGAGGTCACCCCACAGCCTTCTTTTCTCCAGGCTGAACAAGCCCAGCTCCCTCAGCCTGTCTTCACAGGGGAGGTGCTCCAGTCCCTTGAAGTCTAATTTGAGATTATTTGTAGTAGTGAGCATCTCTTCCACACAAATTTAATAGAGGATATCAAAGGAGATAATATTCCCACAAGGTACAAGAAGAAAAAGCTTTTAAACACAGTTTATTTATATTACACTATCAAATACAAACTCCTAGCTGTCACTCAAACACAGAAGAAGAAAAGCCTGTGCTTATTATCTAGATTTCAAAGTCACTACATTTTGCTTGACTGATATATGAGGGGCAGAAGTTAACTGTGAAAGTATTAAATATAGATACAGAAGGTTAGTTCAGAGACAAACGTTTTCAAGTGCTAACCTTGCCTAAAAAAAAAAAAAAAAAAAGCTTTTCCCCCCCATAAAAAGAGGAAAGAGGGAAAAAAAAAAGAAGAGAAAAAGAAAATAGACTTCTATTAGGAAGACTACATCATTCTGACAAAGCTCATACTTCAAGAAAAACAAAAAAAAAAAAAAAAAAAAAGGAAAATATGTTTCTTGAGACAGATGTATTGTTAACAATTTTGCACAGCATATAGAAGCTGGGAGCTTGCACACTTCCTAATCCACAGCAGAACTAAGAGCACAAGCAATTACAGCATGTCATCTTCTTTTTAATTAAAAAAACTCAGTTCTCCAAATATCAGGGCTAAAGTTCAACTGATCTAATTGAGATTTCTGTACACACAATTCTGCCATGCTTGTAGAATTACAATGATTTTTAAAAAGAGGGAGAAGGGTATTTCTCATCATCACGCGGAAGACATCTGAAGTTGAGCCACTGATGTCTTGGAGAGTTCTAATGTCGTGGCTGGTAGATATCTTGCTCTTTCTAAATGAGAAGCAATTAGAGAAGGAAAAAGAAGAAAAAAAAAAAAGCAAGACAGTAAAACTCTAGTTTTTTATAAATTTTCAGTTGGTGCTCCCAATTATGGGCTCAAGTATCAGCTTCCATCCACAAGCTCTACTTTTGCAAGTAAATACTTATTAGGCACACAGCCTTACCCTGGATGTGATTTGGGACTCCCCTCAGAAACCATTAGCCATTAGGGAATTTCTACTCATAACGTTGTGAAATCCTAAGGAAACCCATTTAAATCTTTTATGTTATTGTTTATTTTCCCACATTGTGAGCTTTCAAAAGGACACAAATTCTTACCTCATTCCACTGGAGACCTCTGGTGTGATCAGTACTGCTAGTTTTCTAGATGTTGTATGGTTCCTCAATGACTGTCCAAGAACCAGAGCTCCTTGGCAATACACATCATCAGTAGCAAGAGTCACAAAGGCCTGATCCGTTACTGTGAATAAAAATTTAGAAGAGTCACTTTACAGATTTAACGTAAGCTCTTTTGGCAGGTTCCTACTATCTCCCTCCTCCAGCTAGCCATTAGGCTACAGCTTATAACAACCTGCAGCTCCTGTGATAAGCCTCTCTCTTTTCCAAACTCCCCCAAAGGACAAAACTGAATAGAAAAATCCAGTAAATATGATTGCAGAATCTATGCCTCTGGATGTTGTTATTTTTTGTGTCATTCGCATAATATCATGAAGTTTTCAGAGTAGCTTTAAACAAGTAACTCCCTAAGTCACATCTGCCTAAACTTACTGGCAATTTGAAAGAGCTGATCTATAAGTGTTTAGACTGTACATTTATTTCACATAATATGTAACACAACTGATTATTTTTTCCTTTCTGTTTATACAGTGCCAAAAGCTAAGGGAAAAAAACACAGGATGTAAAGTAGTGAGCAGAAATATCCTTCTTTCCATGACCTCACTGAATAAACATTTAGGAACATTTTTGCTTTGTCCAATTTGTAATGGAGTACCTGGCTGAACAACTGGTATCTACCAACATGCATGGAGAAAGTGATGTTAGGATTGGCATCCGTTACCAAAGGCTAAGGATCCTTAGCTTAAGTAACTTAAAAAAGAAAAAAAAAAAAAAAGTAAAAAAAAAAAAGTTCTTCGGAATCAGTAAACGTTTGGAAGAAAAGAGTCACTCTAAATAAAGAAGGAAAACTACACTGTAGCACGACATCAGATACAGTGTGTTCTGTAGGGATACCAGGCATCTGGCAGTACCACTACCTTCTGCTCTTCAGTTCTGTCCTCCAACAGAGCCACCCTTACTGTATTTCTGAGGTGAGCTACTCAACTCACAACTCAAACGTTGTGAGGTGAACGGCATCTCTCAGAGATGAAGGAATAGCTCAGCTGCAAAATTAACCAGAACTAAGCAATGGGGTCACACAGGATGAGGGGAATTCCAGTGAGTTCAACAGAGCTTCCGTGTTTGTGTTGAGTTACTTATAGAAAACCACCACCACTTCAAGGGACACACAGTGATACTAAATTATTATATAACAACACCAAAACACCATGTCACTCAGTTTCCAGGCTCTATGAGAGACGCTGTGAAAGAATCTCACAGAACCAGTGGCAGAGAGCCCAGTGAATGACCTCATGACTGCCTCAGAAACAGGCTGCCAAAATAAGAGAGTTGAAACCTCTAACATAATATAACATAACATTAAGGTATGCAATTAAGTATGCTTGGTGCCTGTGATAAACCCTTGGATACTAAGCATTTCCATTTTCCACATCATCCATATCCAGAAGGAAACACAGACCTGCTGGCATGCTGACCTCTCCCTCTGCTTCTTTTCTGCCACTCACTCATCTCCAGCCAGACCCTGAACTCGGCACTACAGTTTTATACTACCACATGTCCCTGTGACTCGGGACAATCTCAGTAACACAGAATCATAGGAGTCTGAAGAGACCTCTGGAGATTATCTGGTCCAACTCCTAGCTAAAGCAGGTTATGAATAGCAGGTTGCAAAGGAAAGCGTCCAGGTGGGTCATGAATACCTCCAGAGAAAGACTCCACAGCCTCTCGGGCAGCCTGTTCCACTGCTCTGTCACCCTCGCAGTAAAGGTCTTCCTTATGTTCGTACAGAAATTCCTATGTTCCAGTTTGTGTTAATTGCCTGTTGTTCTGTTACTGGGCACTGCTGAAAAGAGCCTGGTCCCATCCATTTGCCTCCTGCACTTTAGATATTTACAAGCATTCATAAGATCATCCCTCAGCCTTCTGTTCTCCAGACTGAACAGCCCCAGGTCTCTCAGCCTTTCCACATAAAGGAGATGCCCCAGGCCCCTAATTATCTTTATAGCGCTCTGCCAGACTCTCAAGTTCCTGTCGTTCTTGAACCAAGGAGCTCAGAACTGGACACAGAACTCCAGCTGTGGCCTCACCAGGGCAGAGTAGAGAGGGAGGATCAGCTCCCTCATCCAGCTGGCCATTCTCTTTTCAAAAGTGGGAAACCTAGTCTGAACACTCAACCATTCATTAAAACAGAAAAGTTTGCAGATCTTTCAGCTAAACGAATTCCAATAACCGTTTTAATCACAATTCTGAGAAGATGCAAGTAAAGTAAAAAGGAGCCTTCGCTGTGGAAACATCTGCATCTCCCGTTAGCACAACAGCTCGAGCAAGTTGTGGAAGTTCAGAAAATGAACAGGAGGTGCTCACAGGGAGTGGTTTGTAAGGACAGTTGTTCACATTAGTTGTTCCTACAGCAGTTTTCCAAGAGATTAATCAAATACAAGCATGCATTAAAAATAAATACTGCTCCCACACACCCCCCAAAGAAGGGGGAAAAGCCACACACATACACAAATACATAAAACCCAAAGGTCACCCGAGCAATAAAATTATTCTCAAAAGGCACCGAGACTCAGCAAAGAAAGATGCTTTTGTGTTGGGCAACAAGCATCTCCAGCCAAAAATACATAAATAAATAAAAAGGTAATAAAACAACTACTGAGAGGAAGGCGGGGGGTAGGCTAGTACAGAAAGCAAACTGTGAAACCAGTAGGTGTTTAAATCTTCAGACACTATTTTAAATAACAACCATAAAACCGAGCACAAACTCCTTATTGCCTCTGCAAATTCTTTTCGCTACAGAAACCAAATATTTGCATAAATAGCCCATCCAGAACTACACAAGCTACTCAAGGAACAGTTCAGCAGGTTGGCATGGCAAGTTACACATGCTTTCCTGCTCAGTCCTTCTTGGAGCAAAGCTGTGGTCAGAACTACAAGGAAGCAAACAGCTTCTAAGAGCTCTGGCTAGTACTTACCAAGGAAAAGAAACCAATCGCCTCTTCTGAGAATCTGCTGTAGGACACATACTATGGTCCTCTTAATACAGGAAACCATTATAAAGTTAATTAAACAGGCAGTCAAACTACCGACTGAAACAAAGCAACATTAAAACATTACTGATGCAACAAGAAGCATATGCTTGCTGTTTTGAAATCATGCAGAAGTATCAGTTAAAATCAAAAGATTCTATCATTACGTCTTTTTTCATCTCATACCATGCTTTCAAGGGACAGAAGCGTTACTTGAATTTCCTTGTTTAGAATATTCCTTGAAACTGCCCCTGGAAAAATTTTATTTCTAGAAAGTCAAAACTACAGATCAGATTTTCATACCAAGCTGTGTAAGCAAACTCTTCACCTGAAATCTCCATTTAAATTAAATCAAGGGCAACGTTGCATAAAATTTAATGTACTGAGAGACTCACCACTGATTTCAAGTTGCAAAAGCAGCAATATTTGACCTATCAAGTTTGGAGGCCAGGGGCGTGGGTATTTAAAATTCATTGTGACTATACATATGCATATATATGTTTTTTTTCACTGCCAAGTGCAACTTTGCTTTCAGCTCTTTGTGCTGGATTACACCAGGCTTTCTCACAGGAAATACCTAGTGTGAACAGCATTATGTTTTCAAGCAAATTGTTTTCAAGCTGTGGAGCCCTACGGCGACTCTGTGAATTACAAGAAAAGTCTGTGTACGATCAGAAGCACATTATAACTATGTTGTATGAATGTATCAGTCTGCTCACTTCTCTTGCCTAGATTACCACGCAGCAACCTGGAGATGCAAATTTAGAAATCGCTGTTGGCACTGCAATAGTTTCTCAGAACAGGTCAGACTTTCAAGCAAATTACTTTTCCCATCTTCTCTGTGCTGCTATCAAAGCTGCAGAGTGGCCTGTAAAAATCAATCACCAAAGTTATATGAACCGCAATAGGCTGGGTGATTTTGTGTGAAACTTGTTACAGCTTTTTAGGTGACAGCACCAACTTCTTATGCTACTTACTCACAGCAGTACTTCAGACAGACCTGCCAGAGGCAATATTCTTAAACAGACCTGAAAACCAGTTCTAGGGCTGCATAAAAACCTTGGAATCCACACCAGCATGCAGATTGAGCAGTGCTCCCTTTGATGGTCAGGGTAAAAGGGAGACAGAGAATGATCAAATACCAATGAGATGTAGGAGTGACTCAGTAATAAGCACTAAATGAAACACGTACACCTACCAGCTTCAAACCAAGTTTCATAATCCAATTGACACAGCTTTGTAAACATATTTCTGTCTCCTGATAGAGAAATGTCAGATGTGCCCTAGCAGTTGCTCCTAGAGTAACAACTTCAGTTTGCCAAGTTGCCCACTCTGCAACTGCAATAACTGCAATGGGAGCCAGAGACTCATATACTACAGCTTTCCTACTAAACTACTCTAAATAACACGATGCTATCTTAAGAAGGGTACATAAAATAGCTAAACATCCCCAATAGGCTGATTATGTTTTCCGAGTGTTCTGCCTGGCAAACTAACACTGGCTCAATGTTTTCCCACATTCCTCGCTGATACTATCTGCTGTTCTCATCTTACTTTCCCCTTCTGTTGCAGCTGCCATCTGTGTAGGGCAGGCACACTACAGCCTGGGCCAGGCCTTTTTTGTGAAGGTGCATTAGACCGCAGTAATGATAAAGTAAGTCACAGAATCACAGAACCATATGGAGTGGAAGGGTCTCCAAGAGATCAAGTCTAAGCACCTGCTAAAGCAGATTCCTTACAGTAGGCTGCATGGGAAAGTGTTCAGGTAGATCTCACATCTCTGCAGAGGAGATTCCACAACCCCTCTGGGCAGCCTGTTCCAGGGTACTGTCACCTTCACTGTAAATAAGTTTTCTTCATGTTTGTGGGAAACTTCCTATGTTCCAGTTTGTGCCCACTGCCCCTTGTTTTATTACTGCATGTGCCACTGAAGCTTGGCCCCATCCATTTGACTCTGCTCTTATATTTATACAAGTATTTATATTTATCGGTGTTGACAGGAACACTCCTCAGCCAATCTCTTCTCCAGGCTGAAAAGCCCCATTGCTCATGCAGAAACTCCAGGCCCATAGTAATCTTTGCAACCCTCCACCAGACTCTCTAGAAGTGCCCTGTCTTTCTTGAACTGAGCAGCCCAGAACTGGGCACAGCACTGCAGATGCAGTCTCACCAGGGCCAGGTAGATGTGGAGAATCACCTCCCTCGACCTGCTGGTCACGTTCTTGTTGGTCACAAGTTTCCTGACCTCTGACTTAGCATTAATCACTAGAGGGATGTGGAACAGGACGCTCTGCTCCAGCAGCACCCAGGACTACAGAAGCAGTCAGGATGAATTTTGTTACAAGAAGTAGAACAAGTAAAGATGAAAACAGCTACATAAACCACCATCAGAAATTGTTACGCAGATTTTCAGCAAATAGGCAGTTCTCCCTATAGTAATCAAAAGAGCTGGCAGTATTAATTCCCATGCTTCCCTGGTCTGGGTCCAAGAGAGGAAACATTTACACTGACAATGAGTTTTATGCTGGCACTGCCAACACCTCCACAGAGAATACAAATCAACATCTGACATCATGCAGTGTTTCTCATGGTCTAATGAAGTTCTGCCTGATCCAAACACAGGTTCTCTACCACCCATTACTAAAGCAGCACTGAATGTCACCAGGCAGGATTAGGACTCATGGGGACAGGTGACAGCGAGGACTTCTCTCTCATTTTGTGCAGACATTATTAAGTATCATCCAGTTAGGAACAGTTACATCCTGCGTCAATACCCTGCAATCCTGTTACTCAGGAGACACCAAGCAATCTCCGTGAAAAACCAAACACAACAATATTATGATACGCAGATGAGTAACATAAAAAGAGTAACACCTCGTTTTGAGGAAAAAAAAGAATACTGAACTAGGAACACAGCAGTCGGCAGGACAAGGCAGAGGACTTCGTAGCTCGTGCCGTTAGACACCTTCAGTTTCCTCACTCCTCGCAAAACAACTTTTAAAACAATCTTGCAACAGAGTCCCCTTCTGTGTGCCCCTGCCCTCGGGAAGCCCCAGGCGGGCCGAGCCCGGCCGAGCAGCACGCGGGCCGGCAGCAGGCGCCCACCCCTCGGGCCCTTTCCACCCACCAGCCAGATGGCTCCAACCCTAATCCGGAGCCGCTAATCTCAGCGCGGCCTGCCGCTGGCAGCGCGCTCCGCCGTCGGGGCGAGCCGTACGAGGAGCCCGCCGAGCCCGGAGCGCCGTGCGGTGCAGCGGGGAGCCGGGGGCGAGCGGGCGCAGCGAGGGCTTCACCGATACTCACCGGACATCGTGCGGCCGCGGAGCCACTGCCGAGCGGGGCGGGGACCGAGCTCTGCCGCCCGCCTCGCCTGCTTCCCCGGGCTGGTAAATCACCAAATGGGATTAGCCTCGTTCCCGCTGAAAACAGTGGGAGGTGAATTACGACCGCGCGGACTCCTGTGCGCAGGGGCGGAAAACCAGCATTAGCGGCAGGGTTGGCACGACGCGACCCTCCCCAGTTTTCACGCGGGGGAGTCGCTCCCTTCTCGGCCCCGAGGAGCGCGGAGCCCCGCACCTGCCGCCCACCTGGGCCGCCCGCTGCCCCCCACGCGTGGCAGAAGCGCTATGGCGCCGCCTGATGGCGCGGCGCGATGCAATGTGACGCAGTGCTCTCTCGTCGTTGCCCCGTAGCCTGGCCCTCCTCTCACCTCGGCCGGGCCGGTGGCTGTCGTAGTGGACAGCAGGTTGGCCGTGAGCCAGAAAGCTGAAGGGAGACCGGGGACAGTTAGAGGCCAGGCTCTTCTCGGTGGTTTCTAGCGATAGGACAAGGAGCAGCGTCCTAAAGCTTGAACATAAGAAGTTCTGTACTAAAAGAACTTCTCCACTATTAGGGTGACAGAGCACTGGAACGGGCTGCCCAGAGAGGTTGTGGATTCTCCTTCACTGGAGGTATTCAGGACCCACCTGGATGCCTACCTGTGCAACTCGATGATCCCCAGAGATCCCTTCCAACCCCTACAACTCTGTGATTCTGTGGTCCGGAGCTCTAACAGCTACTTTGTTTTCCTTCCTTCCCCTTCAGACTTAAACATATTCCCTGTATAAACACCCAGTTATGCTAGTTAGAAGCAAAATTAGCACTGAAAGCAGTGCCTGCACACTGCTGTGTTGATGTCATTAGATGGAGAACTTGAGAAAGTTAAACACTTGGTGGGAGTTCCAACTAATTCAAGTTCAAATTCTCCATTAAAAAAAAAAATAAATCTGTCTCTTCACTTACAATAATAATAACAGAAACGATTTCAACTGAATAAGAAATTGTTTAGGAAAAACTGAGAACAAATTTAAATAATTTGTAGTAGCATTTTAAAAGAAAAAAATCTTTATGCTCTTAAAACTGCACATAAATCCTTCTTGAACACTGATCCTGAACAAGAGATGCATAAGATGCTTCCTTTTTCTTTTTTTTCTTTCCTCTAATAGTAGCTTAGACATTCAAGGTACCAGCCAGCCAGCATACATTCCATAAAATAACTCACAAAACGAGCAAACTTCATTTCATTTTAGGTAAAACAGGGTATGTGTTTATTGAATATTTTCAAGAGAAAGAACGAGCATGGATATTTTTATTGTTAAACAAGCAATGGAGGTGGTAACCACAAAAAGCTTTAAAATCTACCTGACAAAACATACAGTAACTTTCATAAATATTAACATGAGAAGTTTGTATCTTTAAAGAAAAAGCACGTGTCCTGGAAAACTATTAAAATATATTATTGATGATAAGTTGAAAGCGGTAGCCACAAAGCTGCTCGTTATCTTTGCATGTTGTCAAAGTGTTTCCATGTTTGAACTGATGTACGTGATAACTTCTTACATTCAGGATCAAAATAAAGATATGAAATATCCATGTCAAATATCACGGAGATAGAATAATACTTTATTTTATGAAGTGCACCTGTCCAGACGATGTCTTTCTCTCAACAATTCAACAAACACGACAAACACCTACGTCCATCTGCATGCAAATTTGTAAGAAAATACATTCTTCATGTATTTCCTCTATGCTTATAAGTTAGCTAAAATAACCATATGATAGAATTATGTCACTAAACCACTAGTTTTGCCAGCTTCTCACCTGCATTTCATTCCCTGAAGATAGAGAGACTGGAAAAGGTTTTGATGATAATTTTTGTCTGCCTACAAACATTGTTAACACAGCAAGGTTGATGAGGAGCAAGAGAAGAAGATGAAGCAGCCTCACTAGCAAAACTCAAAGTATCAGCTATACCTCTGCTAAAAGATATGTACAACATTTAAAAGTTGATAGCATAGATTCATAGGACAAAATGTCACAGATTGGTTCTAACTGATTCCAAAACCTCTGCATCTGGTTTTCTTTTGAAGAAATTATGAAGAACACATTTCTTAAAATAAAAAGAAAGAAAGAAAAAAAATGTATCAGGTTGCCTGTGGAGGCTTCTAATTTTTCAAGAAGGAAAACATAATTTACAACAGATTCCAGTTCCCTGAGAAGAGCCAAATGCCATTTCAGTAATAAATAAATAAATACAATTAACTTGTGCTCTCCTCATTTTATTAATTTTAATCAGTGATTCATTGGTGCACGTGTTCTTTTCATGTTGTATTTGAAAATTAAGAATGTATTTTCCATCTATAGCTCTTTCTGCTTTGCAAGAGTTCAGACATAAGATACGAAGTAAAGGCATTAAAATGCTCAATCATTTACTTCAGTTTTTTCTTAAGTACCACAGACAATACAGAAATATGCAAAATGTGTGAATGGAAATGGCATTTCTCTTATTTCTGTCCTGTCAGAATGATTAATTATTTGGGGCAATTTAGAAAACAAGAAAAAAAAATTCTTCACTCATAAACCAAAAAAGCTGACAAAAGAAAAAAAAAAAAAAAACACTCATAAACCAAAATATTTTATTTTTTAGCTCATATTAAGCTGGAATTCTGCATTTAAAATAGCTCCTGAATTAAAATACTTATCCAACATTTATGAATACAGTGCAATACTTATCCTGCACATTTTAAGTACATCTTTGATGATATAAATCTCCAGGTTTAAGAGTAACGTCATGTAAAAGAAAATGGAATTGCAGTGCCTCCGCAAAACATTCATTAGAGGAAGATTTTTTGCTCAGACTTATGAAGCTGAAAAAAATGTCAGATCTGTGGGCAGAACATCGCCAATCAAAGGAGTGTGTCATCAGAGGACAGTTTTCATTTCAGCAGTTTACACTGTGGCCCCACCTAAAAGAAGGAAGGTTAACATGAATCATTTCTGCTATGGATATCCTTTGTCAGTGCTTCTACATCAGCTGCTTCCTGTGCTCATTCCTCTCCAGGTCCCCTTGAGGCATGAGGTGGGAACCTCTTACCACTACAGAACTATGGGCAGCTTTTCCCTTTCCTCTATCTCCTTCCTCTTTTCAGAGGGCAGGGGGGTCACAGACTGCATCATCTGACATGATGCTTTTGTTACACCTTAGCTATAGACACGGAAAAAAAGTGACTGTCAGATCCCTTGGGACACAAATAACCTCCCACAGTTCATCCCCAGGCCTGAAAACACCCCCCCTTGGATGAGGTGGGTATCTCCTGTGTAGTACTGTTCAGAGAAAACCTGGCCCCTCTGGAGTTCCGTGGCATCACCAGCAGCACTCTGCCTAGCAAACTTCTCCATGTGCACGGAGAAGAATTTTCCATACATGTTCTGCACTTCATTTGTGTCTTTACAATCCAGTGAATGTTTTAATACATGATAAATATATTGGTTGTTAGTCCTATAATAGAATAGATAACAAAAATCAGAAGTTTAAATTCCTTTCTGACAGCTAAGCACCAGGGAGTTGCAAGACTGGGGCTGCTCCCAAGGATGTTCACAGGGCAGCCTGGACCAGAGTCTAGCCAGCACAGTGCCACCCCACCACACTAGGAGTGGGCAAGCCAGAGCAAGGTGGTGATGGCAAAAGGGTCCTGTGGCAACCCACTGACCTTCAGGTAAATGCAAGACAACCAGCCAGGCCTAAGACCAAGTCAAGAAATACAAAAAGCCATCCAGAACCATGGCTGGGCAGGAGCACTAGAGATGCAGACAAGGCCAGGAAAGGAAGAAATGAGCTGAAATTGGAACCCGGAACAGAGGGCATATGGAGAAGCCCTATGAGAGGCTGATGCAGGTGATTCAAGCAGATCTGTGGGCTCAAGGCCATAACAGTCAGTCATCTCCATGGGTGCAAAGACTTCACATTACTCAATTCCTTTCAGGAAGTGGTGTATATCTGTCCTTTGGGTAGATCGTGGCTTCCTATACTTGACTGAGAATTCCCAAGATCACATACAGGCTAGAGAATGTTTGGCCATAATTAGCTTATTTCTATCCCCACAGAATTTATTTATTTATTTATTTATTTTAGTAAAATTCCCATCTTCTTCAACACAGAAATTGACTAATTGTGTCTTACCACGTGGCTTGAAACAAAGCTTGTTGTTCTTGTAAGCTGTGTAGGCTGCAATAGATCCAACAACTAATATCACAAAAGCAGAAATTATAGGAGATGTTACTCCAGCTATTAATCCTGAATCTGTAGAAAACAAGAGAGATTTTTTTCAGATGCAGTGAAATAGTATGACTAAGGCATATTACCTACAAGTACGTGTTTTTTGCAAAACTTTGAAAATCATATGGTGAAACATTGGAAATCCATTAAGTAATTAAGTAATTAAACAGGAGACTGGCAATTATGGTACACTCGGCTGATATGAAAACAGTGTCATACAGCATCATTTAATATATGTACTACTTTTATAAGGCTAACATTTTCTCACTGTTTATGGTGATCTGAAACAAATTATAGAATAAAATATTTACTATACCCGAGCTTCCACCATGATTGAAATTATGCCCTTCTTCTCCTGGAATAGAGGATAAAGTTTCATCAAAAATTGTCTTTCATATTTTGAGAACAAAGTATTCTGCATTTTCTACAATGTGAAATGGGGCAGCTAGAGTGGGATTCTGTGACAGAGAAGCTCTGATTCTAATCCTGACTGGCATCAGTTTCAGTAGGAGGAATAGAGTTCCTTCCTCCTGCCACTTCATGTTTGTAGAAGAATACTGTCTGAAGAATATAAACAAAAAGAATCCTTAGCTGTCTATGTCAGACTGATTTAAAGGAAATAGGAGGCCAACTCTACTCTTGTTATCCTCTACTTCTGGACAATAAGATGATTTATGTCAAGGTCATAGACTTGGAGTGTCTACTTTCAGTTCTCAGTAGAAGCCTCTTTGGGACTGTCCAAACAGAATTTGAAGGAATGAATCCTGCAAGGCTCTGGCTTATCCTTGCAAGGCATTTAGAGATATGTTTCAAAGGAGCTAAAGCTTGGTGCTAAAAGCCATGGAGAAAGATGACTAGTCTAAATAAAAACAGCAGTCTTGTCCTACACCTTCAGTAATAAACATTTGTGTTAAGCAAAACCAGTGAGCTCTGATTTATAAATATAAGAGAGAAAATGCAATGAAAATTGTCAAATACTACC